CTACCAACCAAATGTGATCACGACATTAGAAGCTAGATATGTATATAGAAAGAAGTTGCGAGTACCTATGAAAAAGGCTTCTACAGCTCTTGCTGCTACGAGAAATCAGTGGAAAAGTATGGCAATATGAATTTTGGAGCTTGTGTGTAAAACATTTTTTTCTTTAATTCAGTACCTGTTTTTGAAAACATGTGAGCTTCCATTAATGTGGGTATCTATTTGAGCAAAGCTAAGATCCCAACAAAATTAAATTCGAGCATTAAGTACTATTGTAAAATTAGGAAAATAATGGAAATACTTGTATGTTGAATTACAGTTTATTTGGGAGTACTAAATTTAAAATTTTGACAATACATATGTCTTATAAGTATTTTTTTTACTATCAATTGTAGCCAGTATCAATTTACAACAAGTAAATCAAACTAATATTATAAGGGCGAAAGTTTGTGAGTGTGTATGTTTGTTACTTTTTCACGTCTAAACGGCTGGAACGATTTTAATAAAATTAGGTATGGAGTTAGCTGACACCCTGGGTTAACACATAGGCTACGTTTTACTGCGGTAAAATATCCCTGATATGATATAAATATCCCTGAGGAGCTCGATGGCACAGGTGGCTAGCGCGTTCGGCTGCAATCGTTGAAGTTAAGCAACTTTCGCAGTGGTCGGTCATTGGATGGGTGACCAAAAATTTACTATCTCGAGCTCCTCCGTGCTTCGGAAGGCACGTTAAGCCGTTGGTCCCGGCTGCATTTGCAGTCGTTAGCACCCACCAATCCGCACTGGGCCCGCGTGGTGGGTCATGGCCCAATCTCCCTATTCCATCCATAGGGAAGGCCTGTGCCCCAGCAGTGGGGACATTAATAGGCTGATGATGATGATGATGATGATGAAAAATATCCCTAATAAACCGCGGGTTACACGGTGGGGCACAGCAAGTGGGTTAAATTTTTAAAGTTATCTTACAAATCATAACTAGCAAATGCCTTTACCTATTTCCGTTCTTACCCCAGGTCGGTAGTCAAGGCTCGCTCACATGCAACCTTCTAATTTATTCCACTAAAACCACGAAACGTTTGCTCTACTTACATTTAATGTTACGAATATAGAAAATGTTGCTTTTATGAAATAGAAGAAAAAATATTTATATCGTTCAAAAAATACAACAAAATTGAAGTTCCGCTCTTCATTAAGCTTCACTTTTGCTATCTTCCTTACATCCGTGGCCGTGTGGTATATGTACGCCGAGTTTAATGGTGTCGTCGCCAACTAGAGAGGTCCCGGGTTCGAATCCTGGTGGAGGGCAGATGTTTGTTCAAAATTCAAAATTCAAAAAAAATCAATATCGTTTATTCAGTCTAGGCTGTTACAAGCACTAGTGTGATGAATACTAACATTTTTATTCCAGTCATGGATCTTATTAAATATGTATGTTCTATATAAATATACTTATGTGTGTATCAGTATATGTACGAGACGACCGCCTTACGACCGAAGCGAGAAGAAATAAAGTTTACGTGTGCAAGTTTACATCGAAACAAGATTGATTTATAAAATATGTCTATAGATGCGATTTCACATGTAACTGTTTTGTACGATCATTAAAAATGTTATTTCCTTGTCGTTTTATTAGAATGAGTCGGATATCGCAATAATAGAGAGCTTTGCCCATAGAAACTGATAGTTCAAAGCGATATTCTGTCTCTTTCTAACCAATAATCTTATAAGAATTTGCCTAATCGATCGCCGCGCTGATGTCGCATGGCCGAGCACTCCAAGAAGGTGTACTCAGCACAATCGTCCAGGGCGCCGCAGTAATGGGACTGCGGCATTTCTTCCCGGCGGGCGATACGGTACAAGTAGTGACCGAAGCATTCGTGTCCGGTCAGTACCTGCACCTTGCGGAACGAGAGGGCGCCGCGCCGGTGACCCACCCGCTCTAGGGATGTCGAAAGTTGAAAAAAATATCGATATATCGATACATCGATCTTTTAAAAAATATCAATATCGGCTTCGATATATCGCGAAAAAAACATCGATATATAGGACCAATTTTCCCAAAAATATCGTACAGTATCTCACGAAATATGACACACGGAATAATAATGGAACGAAAATTATCTCCCTAAAAATAGACTATTTTCGAATGATGAAAATGATTGCAGGGCCTCTCAGATAAATGATTGCAGGGTCTCTTTCGTAAACAAGACTAGACAGTCACACACTTCACAGAATAAAATGGAAATCAGCACAACCGATATATATATCGATATATATATATCGATACATCGATATATTTTCAACAAGCCTAACCCGCTCCTCCAACACCAGATGAATGGCCTCAATCGTCCGATGGCTGGCGCTCACTTGGGATATGGGAGTTTAAGTCTTTCCTCTTCCACACTACCTACCAATAGGGGAGCCCAAGCGGAACAGAAGCTACTGGATGGAATCCTCCAGTAGCTCCTATTCAAGAGACTGGCGATTTAGATGCGATCAAAACTTATGGCCCAATTGCAAAATTTCATTTTTTTTTGCTGCCCTATTTTATTTATTTTATAGATAAATACCTTATAGTCTAACATATATACAGATATAAAACATTGTTGTAAGTAAATATCCCTTAAAAAGGGGTCAGGCATGGTAAGTACCTACTCCCACTTCATAAGGTGCAAGGTTACCCCATAATGTCATTCTGCCACGCTCAAGTAAATCCCTAACTCCCCGCTTGGGCTCCGCTACAACAATAAAAAAAAAAGTGTCGCAAGAAACCATTATCGTAACGATCGATCCTCATAAACTTGACTGTTCAATAAAACGCGTGTTGAAACAAAAAATAAACATTGATTAGGTACAATTTTCATGGACACGCAGTTTTGAAATCACGATAGCTCCGTAGTGCTGTTGATGTGCAATACCGATTATTACCAATACCAACCAATATAGGTACGTACAAGCGATAGTGTAATTATAACTTCAAGGAACTTGGGCAGTTTTAAAGATATTATTCTAATAAATAATACATTAGATACAATCGTTAAGGATCACAACATTAAACGCTATTGTAGAAATACATACTATTGTAGAATTGTGATTTCTGTTGAAATTAGAGATTTTTAACCAGTGCTGCCCAACCGGTAGCTCGCGGGCACCTGGTAGCCAGTGACCTGTATTCTAGGCGCCCGCGAACAATTTTGGGTAATCAATTATATAAACAACTAGCTGACTCGGCGAACTTCGTACCGCCCAAAAGTAATAATTTGCAATAAATTAAAATTGCGACTATAATTTGAGATTTAAACTATGCTATCTCTCAAGTTGGATCGAACTGCACATGGTGTGCGAATTTTATTATAATCGGTTCAGTGGTTTAGGAGTCCATTGAGGACAAACATTGTGACACGAGATTTATATATATTAAGATATTAAGATAAGTAAATTCCCCTGCATGGTATAAAGACGTTAGTGGGTCGTTATAAAGTAGTTTCCTTTAATTCACTTATTTTTTTTTTATTAAGTAGGCTGTGCCCGCGTAGCGTATCAGGATTTTCAAAATAGCCCTTGGAGCAATACCCGGCACCACTGCTTTAAACTATACTTACTATATAATTAAGTATATTATTGTTTTATTTAAATCTCTTTGGTTAAAATCTTCGGAATGATGGGTATTGATATAAATTGTATATTATTATGTTTTGATATAGCTTATAAAGCCCTTTCAATGAAAATGACCTAACTCAAAATTTTCGTAATTTCTGATTTTGTTCAAACTGATCTTAAAAAACATGCTCAACAACACTGTGATAAAAAAGAAATCAAACTAATTTTAAGGTAACAAATTCAGGTTACCTGATTAGTTTTTTATCTAAATTAAATGTTATGAAAAAGTTATCGAAGTTTGTGCCTCGTAAAAATAAAGTAATATTTGCAGTTTTTTGAGATTTTTTTGAGAAACTAACCGAAATTAACAACGGCGGTGTCACTTCACGTAGGTACTTGATCTCTACTATATAAGCTATAGCGCAATTTAAAGCTTTTTCATTAATGAGAAGTAAAGTATATTAATATGGTACCTTCTAAATATAAAACTGCCTCTATTATTTACAGGTGGCGGCACGTAACTCTAGCGCTGAACAAAACGCCCCAAGACATCCTAATTTTTACTCCTGCGCAATAACAGTCAGCGCTAGTTTCGTACCGCGACTTATAACCTGAATGAATTTGTTTACAAAAGGTACCAAGGTACATTTCAAATTCATCACCATTTACATACAAAGAAAATCTTAATTCTTAATGTCGACTAAAGTAACAAAGGTCGTTTGAATGTTAATTACATTGCTCTTATTATATCGCATAGTTTATTTTCAAAGTTTTCTTTTCATTAGCGTAGGGTTCCATTGATAATGATGTAGTGGATTGGGTTAGGACAAGCGAAGCAGAATACTCTGGTATCAGAAGTAGCTCTTGTTTTGATGCGTACCATACGGTACCTTACCTTGCCACCATTTTTACATAAAAAAAGCCCTGAGAATACACCACTATTTAAATGGAAGTAGAGTCCAGTTGCGAAGATAAGTGATGCGTCAGATAAATGTTCGGCTTTATTCACCCTAACTGATACATTCATCATTTAAGTCCTAGGTTCGACCTGAGCTTAGGGTATAAATGTAGGTATATATATACAAAAACTTATGTAATTTTTGACATTTCATACCCACATTTCACTGATAATTTGTTCACGTTACGATGACCTCACAAAAATCAGTATTATTCGTTCGACAAATTAATAAACATCGAAATGTTAAAATTCATATTAATTGCATATCAATATAGAACGTGGTAGAGCAAAACCTACGAAATTTATTAAATTATTACTTATTATTGTTTATATCTCAAGGTATTGCTAAAAAGGATAATGACAAATTCTACTTAGATCGCATTAATTCAAGTAGCGTAGAACCCGCTAACTGAATAAGGATATAACAGATTTAAATATTTACTAGCTCTCCTGCGGACGTCTACCCCGAATGGAATCATGGTGTGCACTGAGTACTCGGAGGAGCTGCTGCCACCTGGAGGGAAGAGAGGAATTAGGATAGGGAATGAGCAAGAGGGGACTAAATACATATCCATGATTCTATCAAATCCGGCTCAAGGGACCATATCTTAATTTATCGAATCAAATGAATTAACTACATGTTATTTATATTTGATGGTAAAAATTAGACGGGCGAATATAATTTAACCTCATTTCACCATAAAATTGAAAAATCCTAATCGCTTTCAGAAATAATGATACAGTCAAGCAAGCCTTTGACTAACATTCTGTTTCCATTCTCTAAATCGCAGAATAACATTTGATGTATCCAATAATGCACTGGGGTCACTTATTAATAGTTCTAGCCACCCAGCATCAGAAGCACTGATATCGATTTGCATTTGCTCCGTGTCGCAAACAATCTTACAGAGAAGGTAGAGTCCAGCATTGAACGGTTCTATGTTGCACTGAGGTGTTTGTGATTTAATGATGTTGTAAAGAAAATACAAAGTTTTGTACGTACTGATCATCCTGGCGAAACCGAAGTCGCAGAGCTTGACCACCCCCTCGCCAGTGAGCAGGATATTCTCCGGCTTCACGTCGCGGTGTATGCAGTTGTGGCGGTGGCAGTACGCCACGCCTTGTAGCGTCTGCCAGATGATCTGCTTCGAGAGGAGCTCTGGACATCCCTGTGGGTGACACCTTGACTGAGTAGGTTAACAGATAATCTTTGTTTGTATCGCTAGATTTTGTCGAGGTAGGAGGAGCTCGATGGCGCAAGTACTAACTACTTGCCGTTCGGCTGCGATCGTTGCAGTTAAGCAACTTTCGCAATGGTTGGTCATTGGATGGGTGACCAAGAATTTACTATCTTGAGCTCCTCCACGCTTCGGAAGGCCCGTTAAGCCGTTGGTCCCGGCTGCATCTGCAGTCGTTAGCACCCACCAATCCGCACTGAGCGCGCGCGGTGGGTCATGGCCCAATCTCCCTATTCCATCCATTGGGAAGGCCTGTGCCCCAACAGTGGGGACATTAATAGGCTGATGATGATAATGATGAAGGTGATAATTGATTTTCACTCGAATTTCTAGCGTCCCGCGGAAGTATCAGCTAATATCGCGTCTGGACTTCACCTTCACTTAACATCAGGTGGGGTGTAGTCATTTATCTATAAAATAAAATGAAAGTAACATACACCAATACAGAATTTGACCATAGTATCCATTAAATAAAACTAGTTTTTTACGGGTTAATGCACGAAACTTTATTTATTTATTGACGTTTCGTAGCCTTTACAGGCTACGTCGTCGGAATCAAATTTTTATTTCACAATTTGTGCATTAACCCATAAAAAACTAGTTTTATTTAATGAGTAATGTGCGTGAAAACCTAAGAAAAAAATACATAGTATCCATATCATACTAAATGCTCTGTACAACAATATTAAAAAATATAGTTGGCTCAACACTTTAAAGATTGAAAAGCTTTAAAGAAATTGCTTTTAAACCATGGCAAAATCAGACCCAGTGTGTACGAAATTAAATACTATTATATCGTGTGCTACCGTGATATCAGCGTTCTACATTGCCGAAAATTGCGAGCAAGGTCTCCGTGCGAACAACAATAACGGGGTTCTCCACACCTTTGTAGATAGGTAGTGCCTACACCACGGCTAGTGTTGCCAGGTGTCCCGATTTGCGCGGGACTTCCCGATTTTCAGGGGCCTGGGGACGCGTCCCGATTTGTACCTAATCGGGACGCCGATTGTTTGTTTTGATTGATTGTTTAGGAATTAACCGGGTGATTAATTGAACGGAGGTTAAACAACAGTTGATGAACTTGGGCCTAAATGTCCCGATTTATCAAAAAAATAAATTTAGGTAATGTAAAAAATAATACTATACTTGCACTAGTAGTTTAAAACGCAATAAATTAAACCCAGACTTAATAAACCCCTTGTTTTATGTTTACTGTCCCGATCTGCAACCCTAAATCCCGATTTTTTGACCTCATGTACCGATTTAAAACAAATCTGACCTGGCAACACTAGCCACGGCTCTTGTTCACCTTACATTGAATTTCGTCCTACTTTCAGAATCGATTTGTTTATTATATCATTCAATTTAAGAGGTCGAAAAGTAAAACACGGTAGTACTGTTCATTATTCTTAATCAGTAGGTATATAACATATCGAATACATTGAGAACGAGTCAGTTTTGTGGGACAACCTTTAAGATAATGAGAGCAAAACATGACATTTAGGTTTGTCAAATTGAAATAAATTTAATATTTTATGTACTTACATGAATTTAATTGAAAATTATTAGGCAGATAGAAAATAAACAAATTGTTGCGTAATAAAATTTAGGATATTTCGCTAAATCTTTCAAGCTACGATAAACTGGTGCCATCAGTGACATAATTCCGAAATATCGGTAATATTACTAATGGCCGCCCACGACTTCAGCCGAATTAACATTTTTCCGGGACAAAAAGTATCCTACGTCTCAATCAAGGTCATAAACTAAATGCGTACCAAATTTCATCCAAATCAGTTCAGTAGTTGTTGCGTGAAAGCGTTACAAATAAACAAACAAACTCAGTTTCGAATTTTTAATATGAGATGATTATTCCTTTCAAATTCATGGCATCGTCTAAAACTATTTTGTTTTTTTGAGTGTAATATTATTACTGCTTACATATCATAATTTTAGAAACTGTATAGATAGATGTCAAATATCATAAACGATCTATTACAATTTACTTATATTAGGTACACATACTTATAATTAATTAACATACTTCATTCATCGCTACTTCCCCATTCATGAGTTATTGTGAGTTGTGACATTTATGAACCCTGGTGCCAAATTTTAAAGTAAATAGGTTTTTTTTTCGTTTTTTACCTACCTAAATAATAAAACGTAGTTTAAAATTTTCACAATCTGTAATAAATAATTCAAGTTATAATACATACCTACTAAAAACAAAATATTCAATTTCCAAAAAGTATAACGTAGTTATGTGTAGATTACCATTACAAAAAAACGGCGAGCCTTACAGTAGTCGCGTATGATGTGTAACGTTTGAAACCTTATATTAGTAAAAAAAGAAATAAAACCTACTACAAAAGGAATAAGCCATTTGAACATAAGGTTCTAAAATCAAATCAAATAGCGCTTTCGCGACTTCCTGTTACACACATCCGTCCCATTTCACGAAATTACTCCCACAAAATGCAGGAAAGCGAGAGGAAAGATGTTACACATCAAAAAGTAACAAGGAATACCGTTTTCGTGGCACCTCCATTAGGTTCCACCGAGATTTGAACTCGGATCGCTGGATTCAAAGTCCAGAGTGCTAACCATTACACCATGGAACCACTTGTGCCTGTATCTGAAATATGTAGGTACATGGTATTTGCGACTCGGTCACGCACGCTCACGACACGAGAAGTGAAAGGATGCTAGGTTTGTCAAAGCGAGATCGCTTTGTATCGTATCTACCTTATATTATGTATGTATGTATCATAGAAGGTCATGTCGGTACCTTAATAAAAAAAACACCTTGTGCAAATGACTCCACACGTAAATGGCACGACCTATGGTAGAGGAGGGTACAGCAATTGATGCAGTAAAAAATACTAAATACCGGAACTATATATATAGATACTGGCAGCCATATATATTTTTTTAAATAAACAGTCATAAATACCTATAATATCAAGCAAATGTAAATCTCAGTCGCGAGAAACACGTTTTGCGTTCAAATAATTTGATTTACGAATAGAGCGACATAGAAATCGGCGGTTCTCTCTCAGTAGGTACTATAAATAATTAAAAAATGTAGAAAATTTAAACTCTCCAAACAAGTTTGATAAATCATCCTGACCTACGGATAAGAACGGATAAGAACGCTCACGTGTTGCAAAAGCATAGTAGTGCGACCTCGAACTTGTAATTCCACAATGTGGCACAAACACGAGCAGCGGTAGTATGTGCGCAGGCGCCGGTGCAGAGCCACCATGCTGCCGTCCTCAAGCTAAAACGCGGCTAAATGACAAAACCAACTTTTGAGATATGGCCAAAAAACGGCGTGTTAATTTTAAATTATTGCTATTTTGTAACCATTCCTCAGATGACGGATTTTCAGACTTAATCTATAAAAGATACGAATACCTGTTAATGACAGATCGATAGAGAATTAAAAACTGTATAAGATGCAATTTAAGACTGAATAATCGACCACATGTCCCTTAGCCGCACTTTAGTTTGAGGACTGCAGCGTGGTTGTTGCGCAATCAGTAACCAACTAACCATGCTGCTTGAGGTTTAGTTTGTTAGCGAGCGAGTAACCCACCGAGTTAAAGTCATTCGGTCAACCACAAATTAGTACGTGGAATTTGTAGAATTTGTCTTTCGGTGCAATCTAAAAGCAAGGATTGAAAAATCTCTTCGGTGGTATCGTGTGAGACGGGTCGTCACGTTACGTTTCCTAAAATATGGTTGGGAGAAGCGATTGCTGGTTCATGCGTCATGCTCGTAAACGGGTGCTGCCAGTGGAAATGAGCCTGCTCTATACTACTATACTATCAAATTGTTATCTGATTAAACTCTATATACATAACACTATTTGCTGTTATACTGTATGACAGCAGCAATCAAAATGTGAGTGGTAAATTTTGCTACTTCTGTTAAATGCTGATAGCTTTCTTGCACCCATCCTTGTCATCATCTAAAAGATGACCTGCTGGGCTATTCTGTAAAGTTTTCACGCACGGATCCGATGCGGAACCGCGCAAGTCCATATGGGAAATGAGCGGATCCGCATCGGATCCGCGCGTGAGAATTTTACAGACTAACCCCGCTGAACGGGTGGTAGAAAAAAATATTGGACGATTAAAAAGACCTTGCAATGAGTCAATTTGAATAAAGTGTAATTTGTAATAAATTATAATGAAATTTCATTTCAACTTTTATGGTATGTATAGACTATCGAAATGAAGTAAATCAAAAAAACGTCAGCGCGTTCGGCTGCGATCGTTGAAGTTAAACAACTTTCGCAGTGGTCGGTCATTGGATGGATGACCAAAAATCTTCTATCTCGAGTTTCTCCGTGCTTCGGAAAGCACGTTAAGCCGTTGGTCAAAGCTGCATCTGCAGTCGTAAGCACCCGCCAATCCGCGCAGGGCCCGCGTTTTGTTTCATAACCCAATCTCCCTATTCTATCCATAGGGAAGGCCTGTGCCCCAGCAGTGGGGACATTAATAAGCTGATGATGAAAATCAAAAGAAGAAAGAAGAAGTAGTGCCATCGAAAGCATATAGGTATTGCGTCAGCTCTAAGTATTTCCTGGCAGATAGATACCTACACAGGCAAGGTAAATTTTGTGTTGCGTCGTAGGCTCTATATTTGTGCCATTAAACAAGCATTTTCTAACTGAATAACTAATTAGCTGATACCAGCGAATTCATCTGCGTACAATGAAGAAGGTTCCAGTAATATAAGTAAATAAAAAGTAGGAAAAAATATTGGACGATTCAAAAAACGTTTCAAAAAGTCTGCTATCAACTGGCAGAGTTAAATCACATTTGTAGGTAATAAATATACCTAAATATTACATAAAACAACATACATCATATAAATATTTTATACAGTAAGTACCTTTATAAATTTAGAGCGTTTATCAT